TTATATGCAAGGTTTTTTGTTTTGTTTTGATTTTCTTTGGCAATCTGACACTTTGCTAGTAGCGATAAACACATTTTTTCTTAAGATGTGCCTTTAGCCTTGTTGTACCCTAATTTTTTGTTTTTGAAGGGCCTGTATTTTCAACATAATTTTTCTAAAGTAATAATTTTTGCTCATAAGAGGAAATGCACTATATATAGAAATAACACAATTGTTGACAGGTGACACATTTTTATGCACAGAGGTGTACTCACTTCTGTTGTGTACTGCTTGTGTTTGTTCTCAATTATCCTATAACTATGGGTTGAAATACAATCGAAGAATGTCTCAGTCATTACATATGTAATAGATCATGTTCTGATCTGAACTCATGTATTTACTGTGACTGGAGATTGCACAATGATCAAAAGTATTAACCTCTGTTTATTTGAACAGCACATTGAACTTTATCTGTTGATAAAATATGGATTTAGTTTTGTAGATATTTGTGCAATAACAATCTGCGATATAACCTCATTTCAGAAGAAGTGAAGACTCAGTGGGCTCTTAACATTCAGAATTACCATATATGGATTTTTAATTTACACTGAAATGTCTTAAATCGTTGTTCAATTGCGTTACTCTTGACAAGAATTTGGGATTCAATCTAACAATTACAACCATTGTAATTACACAATCTAATTACAACCATTGTCTTACCTGTTTTCAGATTTTTTGGTTGCGATTCTGATTCTAGTCAAGGTTACATTCTCTCCTTTCTTTTTTTTTCCCCTTAAGTTTTGGTATAATTTTGTGGCAATACAGTTTACTATAATCCCCACGCTGTTAACTATTAATTGTTCTAAATAGTTGCCTAGTATGCTCTCTTCATGGTTTTCAACTTGTTTTATTAATGTCGTTTTAAATTTAAACTTTTAAAAAATGTTTAGCATTTTGCTGAGCAATGTTGGTTATTATTTTAAATGCAATATTTTGTCTTTTCCAAAGTCATTTAAATACCATTTACAAATAATATCTTAAAATTAAATGTTTTCCTAAAGATAAAAAACTATATATAAAAACAATGTAGTATTGTAAAAGTTCTGTAAATATTGTCTTAAATATTTCTATATTTTGTATTCTCAGATGCATTATTTGTATCATATTGTAGAGTGTAGAATTTTACGGTGACTGCATGTGTATCCCCAGTTCATGTCGTGTATGTGAATTAAATAACTATTAACAAACAAACAATGCCTTTAATGAAGTTTCAGATTATTACAATCGAAGTGATCCATTAAAAAGCATGTTTTATTTTCTGGACAAATTGTCAGAAATAGGGTGAAACTTTTTACATCTGAACTTTTCCCTAAGGTTGTGTTTCTTTTAACATTGCTCCAGTTTTGGATAACACTCTCCTGTAAATTTACACACAATCTTCTCTGTCTTCTTAATTGTAATCTTACATGTAATGTATTACAATTCTGCAAGTTAGTGGAAGACAGTTTTATTTGTAAAACATGTAGACAGATATACTGTATGTACTATGGTAACACTTTATTTTATCACAAGTGCAACTAACAATTCACATGATGTGTGTTTTAAGTTTATATACAAGAAATTCTGTATGTTTTACTCTGATGACCACCAATATTTTAAGCTTGTTGCTCAACAAGGAACATATGTTGTAGTTATGTCTTGCAAGCAATATAAGGCAGATAATGTAAAATGCAGACATGTCTATTATATTCATACTATTCATATTAATGTATTTTTGTTGACTTTTCTTAGTGGTTTTGTGGGATTACAGATACGTGGAACATCCTCTGTTTACCCAAAAAAAAGGAATACAAAGGTGTAATAAAAGTAATTTTATTGACTATGTATATGAAAATTGTTTGAAGAAACACTGATATAGCTGAAGGTGTGATAAAGAGGGGCAAATTTTAAAGTTGAATGGATAGCGTGCATGAGAAGCGAATAAGTAGCTGGATTTTGCCATGTGTTTGGAGTCGTCACTTGATGGAATGCAGTTGGGAGGTGGATGGAGTGTCAAGCTCTCTGGAATCATACTCATGGATGAACTGCTCCATGGCCTTGATGCAACGCATGCCAATGTCCCTCAGGTTTTCACGCAGAGACAGCTGAATTGGCTTCTCCAAGGATGGATCCTTGGCCACCAACATCTTCACAACCATGCCAAATGTATCACAGTCCTGCCGATACACCTGCATGGATTATTGACAATACATACACAAAACATTAGAAAAATTAATTAACAATAACATAAGAAATGCTACCACAGATAAACCAAAACACACTTCTATTGATGCATGTAAGCACAAAAGAAGACAAAATTAGACAAACATTAAGAGAAGACAAACTATATTATTTAAATTTTTTCAGCAATTTCTAATTAATTAGCAGTTTGACAAAGTAGTCTCCATTATGACTAAATACACATTAAGGGAAAAATGGACCTTACAGAATTTGAGACATTATAATTGTATTATTTTTCTGAAAGCTGGAGATTGGAATATTTTGAAAAAAAGCTGTTGCAGGTGACAATGACTTTTCTGTCACTAATATGAGGAGGACAAAAACAGAAATATTGTCATTGTCATAGAGATATAGAAGTATACAACTACTCTAAAAATAATGCGAAATGAAGTTTGATGGCTGATGAGAAAACCAAAACTGGCCAAAAAATGTAAATTTGGTCCCTGCTTTATAAAACTATAATTTCACACTACAAGTTACATGGTCTAATTCATGTTGGCTATGTATACAAAAATATACAACTATACTTTGTAATTATAAGCACCACAGGGAAAACTTTGACTGGTGTGTGTGTGTGTGCTTGTTAATGAGGAGAGCAAGTGTGGAGTAGTTACTCCCCAATAATAAACTATGCCTAAATGACTTATTAACTTGATACCACTAATAAGGGGTTCAAGCGTGAATTGCTGAAACCCTATTGTATTTGTAAAGATTATTATTATTATTATTATTATTATTATTATTATCAAGCACGAAGCCCAGAAACCCTATTATAATTACAAATATTTTTATTATGAGAAAACCCAAAAGTGGCCAAAAAATGTAAATTTGGTCCCTGCTTTATAGAAATATAGTTTTACACTACAGGTTACATAGTACCAGTGCAGGAAAATTCTCTGGAGTCTGAACAGCAAAAGTTATCAAAACGAAGTTCCAATGTTGGTCGCAACAGGATGCCAAAACGATCAAAGTGGGCAGGGCGACTTTTACTAAAATGTCTATAAATATAAATAATAAATAAATAAATTGGGCAGCCCTTATGTGCACCCCTGCATATGTTAGATTTCTGTATTCTGAACAACTCTGCCTCTAGAGCCACTGCTGTTAAACAAACCTTTTGTTAAATATTTGACATTTTAAAAAAAAAGAAAAACTTTGTTGAAACTCGTTCCTAGACGATATGTTGCTGCAATATTTTAAAGGGGCCATCGGATGTAAAATTAACTTTTACAAGTTGTTTGAACTTAAATGTGTGTTGGCAGTGTGTGTACACATCCACACTATAATGATAAAAATCCACCCAGTGGTTTTTATTTAATCCCTAAAAATAATACTCCTTTTTCAATTCAAGCCATTCTCAGCTTCCTGTCTGTGTGACGTCACACAGACCAAGGCCCCTCCCACGATTGTTGATTGACATGGCCGTCTTGCCTTAGACCCGCCCTGAGTGAGCTGTGAACAGTCAGAATGCCATTGTTTCGACGCTGGAGCAGGAGTAGACAAGAATGGCTCCTAAGAGATTGAGGTGTTTTGTTGTTGGATGTAATAATGAACATAGCAGTCGTCATTTACTCCCGACATCTGAGCTGCTGAAGACGCAATAGGCTTTGATTTTGAAGGGAATGCACCCCCTGATCTACCTAAATGCGTCTATGTTTGCGCGAATCATTCATCATCCAGCCTCAACCTAAAGAAAAAGAAGTGAGTATAAGGGTTTTTTTATAAATCTTTGCAAATCGCCTAAACTAATAATATGTTAGTTGGCAAGTTTCGTGGCTAAAGTAAACAGAACTGCTCGTCACCCCATAGAAGAGAGGGGTGGGATCAGCAGAGCTCATTAGCATTTAAAGGAACATGCAACAAAACAGGTTGCTCTGAAAAGAGCTGATTTTTGAAAGGTAAAAAGGGTGATTTTTACACTACCATTGAGAAATTTTAACCAAAGCATGTTATAGACTTTTCATTAAGACCCTAAAGAATCATATCAACTTGTGGAAAATGGGCATCCGATGACCCCTTTAAGTTTATTTTTACAAATATATACGATGGTACTGAATGATTGGCCTATTTATGTACCATGGTATTCAATGACACATCAATAAATTCAATGTACAACATACAAAAAAACATGATGAATGTAATGGTACTCCAGATGTTTTCTGTGAGCGAGCTTGGACTGGAGGGATGTGCAAGATCATCATTGGCATTCCCCCACATTTTACATATTTAGTTTTTCTGAATGTTTCCCTCTAGCTTTCCAAGTTCTTTCTGAGATGGAGGGTTGTTTATGCATTATTTGCATTATTTAATTTTCCGTTTTTCTTATGTTAGTGTTATATTCCATCTCTACAGTGTAATTCCTTGTTGTAAATTGTAAGTCCTTATGTGTGAAAACATGCTTGGTAGTAAAGCTCTTTCTGACTTATGACTTTAACTGTGCCAGTTTCTAATGGCTAGCATTCAGTGCTTTTGTGTATTTGTGATTACAATTTTTTAATCGAGATTAATCACATGATTTTCTGCGATCAATCGCATTGTTATGCACAAAAAATCAATAATGAATTCAAAAGTAGTGTATTATGCACTTTTTTCATTTAAAAGTACTGCTATATGAACAAAAGTGCAATAACATTTGATTTGCAAACATTTTAAACAAATAAGGTGCTTTTTTGCAGCAGTATTCCTTTTACATAGTAGCAGTTAAAATATTTCTTGTAAATCTCAGCTTATAACATTAATGTAATCAAATTAAATATAAAACCAAAGCTATTTGCCACTGCCAGGGCATTAACGTTTTTATATTATATTATATCTTCATGGAACATGATCTTTTTTATAGAAACGATTTTATAGTTTGTTATAGAAAAACAAGTTATGCTCAGAGTCCAGAGCCTCGATCATAACAGTATAACAGCCACCTTACGAGTAGAGACCTGCACTCCCGCGGGACCCAACGCAACAGAGTGCGTTGCGGGACAACACTTGATGGGCAAGTGCGTAGAGACTCGTGTGTGTGGGATAGGACTGTCAAAATGGCTGAAAAACTCAATTCGAATTTTGTACTTAAATATTATTAAAATTCAAATTATATTCAAATTTAAAATGCAGAATTTTATTTAGGGTGAAGAAAAGCTTTTGGCTTCTCTCCTGAGGCCACAAGAGGGCGCATCGAGCAAAATATTACTAATGCACG